CGGTCATGGGGCCTGAACTCTGGGCCTGGGCGCTGTCCCTCATCTCTTCAGCTCAAGGCTAGCGCTCTACCACTTGAGTCACAGCGCCACTTCCAGCTTTTTTCTTTTTGCTTATATGGTGCTGAGGAATCGAACCCAGGGCCTCTGGCATCCAAGGCATGCACTCTACCACTGAGCCACCTTCCCAGCCCCTTAGTATTTTTTATGAAGGATAAAAATTTTGAAAATCTTGAAATTTTGACCAGGTGCTGGTGACTCATACCTGTAAGCCTAGCAACTCAGGAGGCTGAGATCCGAGGACCACGGTTCAGAGCCAAACGGGATAGGAAAGTCTATTAGATTCTTAACCATCAGAAAAACAGAAGTGGAACTGTGGCTCAAGGGATAGAGGGCTAGCTAGCTTTGAGCACAAAAGCTCAGGGAAAGCGTCCGTGACAAAAAGAAAGAAAGGAAGAAAGAAAGGAAGGAAGGAAGAAAGAAAGGAAGGAAGGAAGGAAGGAAGGAAGGAAGGAAGGAAGGAAGGAAGGAAGGAAGGGAAGGAGAGAGAAAGAGAAAAATTTTGGTGCATTCTTGTCACAAAATTCTGAATCTCACTGAAATGCTGTTTCATCTACTTGTCCCTTAATTATATGCTAGAAGAGAAAGTAAGGCATTTGTTTTATTACTGCCCGATGAGAGGGGAAAATCTAGATTTTTTGTTCCTCCCATGATTTTCACTGACACCAGGGCAAGGAGAGACCCCTGCCTAGAGAAAGTGGAAGCTGCCCTCCTGAGAGCAGGCCCTGATGTTTCCCTGGGGTGGGGGCTATCCCCTCAGGAGGACTACACCAGCCCTGGGAAAGTGGGGTGCTCCTTCCCTATGTATGAATGGGAGCTATAGCTAGGATTCCAGGCATGAGTCCACAGCACCTGGGTATAGCCAGCTCTCTTTGGCTCCTTACCCTGGGAGACTGAATTCTCTTTACAGCACCAGGAGCCGAGCCGGGGTGTTGGCCTAGCCAGAGATAGAGCGAGTGGGGAAGGGCCACAGAGCAAGAGATATTTGGCTGAAGAGGAGATGTTATTGAACGAAAGTTGGTTTGTTTGTTTGTTTTTCCTTGCTATGCTGTGCCTTCACCTCTTCTTTGGCAAGAAAGGTCAGACTTTTCTTTTTTCTTAATTTTAATTTTTATTTTTTGTGGGTCAGACTTTTCTTGCTGCTTTTATTTCATTTATTTATTTTTGGTTTGTACCTGCTGGCATTTCCAGACTTCTGGCTTCTTCTAAGATACATGAGATAGAAAGAAAGTTTGGGTAACTCATTGCAGTGTCATGCCTGAGCTCCTTGGTCCAGAGCCTTTTATTTTTCTCTACTTGTCAGTATCTTCTGGTGAGAGAGAGAGAGAAAGAGAGAGAGAGAGAGAGAGAGAGAGAGAGGTGTGTGTGTGTGTGTGTGTGTGTGTGTGTGTGTGTAATTCTAGTTCTTTTAGCTATACTTAAGAGAAACAGGAAGTGATGTATTGGTTGCAGCTTAAATAATACATTTCCCTCCCTCCCTTCTTCTTCCAATGCCGTATTTAAAAATAGTTGTCATTTTTGCTAGCACAGAAAACAGCAAAATAAATAAATAAATAATACGTGCTCATATTTCATCTTCCATTTTTAACCCTTAGGCCCATTAACAAATTTCATTATGTTCTTCTCACTTTCCTGAAATAAGCCATAATGGTCCATATGATATTACTTTGTTTTAATGTTATACCTCCTATTGCAATACACTTTGCAGTATTACTGATTTTAAAGACACCAACTGGTTAGAATTACCGCCACGGTTAATGGTGTCTTGGCAAGCATATCTTATACCATTCTTTTCTGCTCATTTGATTTCAAATCCCTTTTCAGTGAGAATCTGCAAGTGATTATCTGTCTTATTTTCATTGATTTGAAATTATTATTTATTTTGTCTTGATTGTGGAAAGTCATTCAGCTAAACATAGAATTTTAGGTTTGGTCAGTTCATTATTTTCAGGCTTCCTTCTAGCTGTTGTGAAAACTGATGCCAACCTAATTATTCTTTCACTTGGGTCATTTCTTGGATTTCTTTCCCTTCATCCTATTTAGAGTTTTTCTGGGTCTGATGCAAATGTGCTTCATCTCTGTCTTTGCCTTTTCAATTTCCTTTTGTGGCGAGGGTTTTGCATTTTTACCATGGCAAGTCTACATAAGGATTGTCTGATCCTTCTTGCTTCAAGTCATGCTTAGTAAGTTCCAGAAAACAGATCACTTCCATTTACTTCTTTGCACAGCCCAAGCAAGAAAGTTCATGAGACAATTATCTCCACTTAGGCAGCAAAAAAGCCAGAAGTTGAGCTGTGGCTCAAGTTGTAGAGCACCAGCCTTGAGCCAAAGAGCTCAAGTTCAAGCACCAATACTCCAATTCTGGCGAAAGAAAGAAAGAAAGAGAGAGAGGAAGGAAGGAAGGAAGGAAGGAAGGAAGGAAGGAAGGAAGGAAGGAAGGAAGGAAGGAAGGAAGGAAGGAAGGAAGGAAGGAAGGAAGGAAGGAAGGAAGGAAAGAAGGAAGGAAGGAAGGGACAGAAAGAAAGAGAAAGTCCCATTTCTACATGCATGTCATATTATTAATCAATACATTATTCCATTTCCAAGGAAAGAGGTTATTAGTAGAGTTTGATTCATATCTATCCTCAGAGTAACTTTTCAGTTCATTGACATTTGTCTTTGTCTTATTTTGTGTTTTAATTTAGCATTGCATAGCTTACTTTCACCTCTTATCATATTATTTTTAAGTGTTTTGGGGATTTTTTTAGAGTTTACAGAATGTATTTTAACTACTATAATTTGATCAACAAGTAACACCACACTGCCAAATATATATATATTTACAGGTACCTTCTATATGAATATTTTGTTTCCTTATGAACTTAGTGTCATTTATTTCCTATTCTCAAATCATTGAATTCATTGTGACTATTACTCCTTCCAGGAAATGATTAGCTCCTCCGTTTGAGGGGGAAAAAAAGGTTTTACATTAATGTATAACCTCTCTTATCTATCTTCTTTTCACTCCAAATGTCTGCCCTATGTAATTTTTCTTTGCTTGGTGAACATTCCACACTTTGAATGAGGTTTTACATTGTAGCCTGTTCTTCATAAATCTCCTCCATTTTTCTTGGCCTCACAAGTATTTTTCTTTTGCATGTGGATAATAGAATTGGAGATTGAATTTTTTTTCTGTGGCTGTTGTTAAACTTATGAGCTATGTCACCCCTCTCTCTTCTGGCTTGCATTGTTCCTGGTCAAATATTCACTGCAGCTCTTCCTCTGTTCTTGTGTAGATAATCTTTACCTTTGCCCATCTGATGTATTCTGAGATTGTTTTAAACTTGTTTTGGGTTTACTACAGTTGGAATGAGCTACCTTTGGTGTAACTGGCTGCTGGGATGAAGTGATTGTGTTTTGGTATTTATTGTTGGCTATGTTTTCATATCTACACTCTTGGATGTTGGCTAAGCAGTCTGGCTCTGTTGTTTTAGAACTAAGACTTTAGAAACTGGGATTCCTGCAAGAAATACCATGCCAGAAGTAAAACTGTCCACTCAAAAAAAATTCTGCTAAGCACCAGTGGCTCACGCCTATAATCCTTGCTACTCACGAGGCTGAGATCTAAGGATCATGGTTCAAAGCCAGCCTTGGCTTTGAGACTCTTATCACCAATGAACCACCAGAAAACCGGAAGTGGGGCTATGGCTCAAAGTGGTCAAGCACTAGCCTTGAGCAAGAGAGCTCTGGGACAGTGCTGAAGCCCTGAGTTCAAGCCCCACAACCACAAGAAAAAAGAAAAAGAAAAAGAAAAAATGCTGCTGCCAGGAAAAAGATTTATCTCTCAGTAGGAAAAACTATTGCTACTTCTGGAAATAGGCACCCACAGCTAAAAATCTATATAAGCTTATTTGTGTGTATAAGTTGTAAGCCTGATATAGACAAGACAGAGAAACACGAAGACATTCTCTGTCCCTGGTTTTGGCCAAAATTATAAATGGATACATTTCCCATTTATATGTGTATTATGTCTTTTTCTCTTAATGTGTGAGAGTTTGAATGCAGAGCCAGACTTCAGGGACTAAGGCTTTCTGCTACAGAGCTTGGCACCTAGGAACTGTCTCTGGTGGCATTTTGGAGGGATGTTATATATTCCTATAATAATGTATTATATATATCACAAGTGTAATATACCCAACCAGGATGTGATTGATTCTAAACCATTACTTTCATCTTGTTCTCTTGTTTCCTTGGGATTATGTTTTCAAAGTGGCCTTGTGAGATCAAGTTCAAATACTGTGACTCTTGCTGAGATCTCCAAGAAGTATTGATTAATGCCAGAAGAAGCAGTTAAGGAAGGTAGCTTCTCTCCCTCAGATACCAGTGTACTTATGTTTTGTTCTCATACTGAGAGAAAAAGAAAAAAAAGATCTCTTTTTTCCTCACTGAGATATAACCCACATGTTGCTGATGACATATAACTATAATTTCACTTTGTTTTTCATGATTATATTGTGTGCTTATTTGTTCATGTAGTTAGTTGGTTAGTTATACATTTATTTGTCAGTCGCAGGACTTGAACTCAGGGCCTGGGTGCTGTCCCTGAGTTCTTTTGCTCAAAGCTAGCGCTCTACCACTTGGAGCCACAGCTCCACTTCCGGTTTTCTGGTGGTTCACTGGAGCTAACGGTCTCATGGGGACTTTTCTACCCAGTCTGACTTCAAAACATGATCCTCAGATTTCAGCCACCTGAGTGGCTAGGATTACAAGAGTGAGCCACCAGTACCCAGCCTGTAGTCATTAATGTTCATGGCCACTACCATAAATACTTCTCTGTGTGTTGTTCTACTTTTATTTCATTTTTGTGAATTTGTTATTCATACATCCGTGGCTCTACGGATGTGTCTGGATTTCTTCTCAGTGACTTGCAAGCATCTTTTCAGGACAATGCAGTCTTTCTCAGGAAGACTTGAGATTGTTTCTGGGACTGATGGCTGGCTGTCACACATGGTCTGGAGCCCACATGGAGTCTGTACAGCACATCACCCCACACCACCCTATGCAGCATGCAAAAAGGAGAAGGGAATGGGGGATCCAGGAGGCTACATTTACATACATGGTGCATGAGGGGAAACTGAGGCTTACAGGGGAGGAAGTAGGCACTCTCGCAATTCCTGAGTGCTCCAATCTCTTTCCCCGGTCTCTCAGTTATGGCTTTCCCTCTGGTGCTGGCTTAAATAGTTATATCCACATTCGCCTGGAGAAAAGTACAGGTTAGCATTTCACACTTCCATGCCATGAATCTTGTCTCTCTTAATATGCTCATGGCTCCATCCTTGTCACATGACCATTCTGTTTCTTGGTCTGTTACTCACAATTTGAGTTACATGTTTTTTTTTTAAATATTTGGGTAGCTGGGCACTGGTGGCTCATGCCTGGAATCTTAGCTACTCAGGAGGCTGAGTGCTGAGGACTGTGGTTCAAAGCCAACCTGGGCAGGACAGTCCCTGAGACTCTTATCTTCAATGAACCACCAGAAAACCAGAAATGGTGCTGGGGCTCAAAGTGGTAGAGCTTTAGCCTTGAGCAAAAGGAGCTCATGGACAGAGCCCAGGCCCTGAGTTCAAGCCCTCCTCCCAAACCAGATGATTTATATAGATTTTTTTCCCAAGCCTAGTAGTTGCTTAACAATTACAAAATATGTGGGCATCCTAGAAATGAGTCATATGTAACATGCTCTCACAACAAGGTTCTGATTCCTATTTTACCTCTCTGATTATGTTAATAGGGTACTCAAAATGTAAATAATGAAAAATAAGCAGTAATGCAAAGAAAAGTTGAAAAGCCTAGAACATTATTATAGATATACATGTAGCTCTCTCTGATACATAAAAATGTAAAAGCTTTGAATAACAAATTTACATATTTTTGTAGGAAATAACCCAGTACAATTTTACACGTAGGAATATCCAAAAGAATTTTGAAAATATTCATGGACAAATTGAAGGCTGTGCACATATACTACATAAAAAAGAAACATTTCCTTTTTTCCCTACCCAGAACCATGGCATGAACTCAGGTCCTCAAGCTTGTTCTAGTTCCTGGTACTTTACCACTTGAGCCATACCTCCAGCCCTGCTTTTAGCTGCTTATCTTGGAGATGGAGTCTCCCAGACTTTTCATCCTGGTATGGCTTTGACCCTTGATCCTCCGGGTTTCAGTCCCTTGAGTAGCTCGATTTAGAACCATCTGATATATGTGTTTGGGTACCGGGGCTTGAACTTGGCTTGGGTGCTGTCCCTGAGCTTGTTCACTCAAGGCTGGCACTCTACCACTTGAGCCACTTGAACTTCACTTTCGTGATTAATTGGGGATAAGAATCCCTCACATTTGTCTGCCTAGGCTGGCTTCGAACCAGGATCTCAACCTCCTGAGTAGCTAGGATTACAGGAGTGAACCACCGTACCTAGCATCCATGCAAATGTTTGTCCCTCCAGGTCTGTTTTCACAGACCTGTAGATAGCCATTTTGTGAAATGCACCTTTATGTTATCTTTATGTTTTCTCTATACCCTCTGTTAAAATTTTGATCTTCTCCCCAAGGGGGGGGGGGGTTCTCAATTTCTAAGTAATGATTTATTCCTTAGCCGTCAAACATACTCTCGACAAAGCTTGATTTTTTTCTGTTTTGTCTTTTGCATTACCAAAAACTGTAGCTTTTCTTAACAATTAAAATTCCTAAGTAGTTGTTGTTTGGCAATTCAAGTTTGCTGGAGCGCGCCTCTTTGAGTTTGAACCCCAGCATTGCTACTGCGAATGTGTGACCTTCACCTTGAGCAATAGCTTCGTAAAAGCTTCAATTCTTCATCCGATGTTCCTTTATCTTTCGTCTGTTCCCGTCATCTTATTGTACAGAGTTCTGTGTCACATTGCATGGGAAGTGGGGGAAGGAGGCTGATTGCAGCTAGGCAGTCAGAGGGAGAAAATGGCGACTGGCCCAGGATGGGGAATGATGGCACAGCCCACATCACCTTGCTAGGTGGAGGGTTCCAACATTGACGGATGCGCTTTAAGGACAAGCAAGCTGCAAGGCAGAAGGTGAGCCCTCCAACTTCACCCCTCAAGCTCCAAGGTGGAGGTGATCCAATCAGAAGGGGCTGTGCTTCAGAGGAGGGCAGGATCCAATCAGAAAAGCCCTTTAGCATCATATGGCACTGCTTAGCCAATCAGACCAAATATACACTCCTTTAATACGGCAGGGACAAGGGACCCAATACCTGGTCCAGATATCCAACAAGAAATTCTCTTCTCGGAGAGTCTGCTCCCAGTAGAGATTGTTTTCCTTCCTTCTTTCTTTCCTTCCTTCCTTCTTTCTCTCCTTCCTTCCTTCTTTCTCTCCTTCCTTCCCTCCTTCCATCTCTCCTTCCTTCCTTTTCTCCTTTCCTTCCTTCCTTCCTTCCTTTCTTTCCTTCCTTCCTTCCTTCCTTCCTTCTTTCCTTTCTTTCCTTCCTTCCTTCCTTTCTTTCCTTCCTTTCTTCCTTCTTCCTTCCTTTTCCCTTCCCTCCTTCCTTCCTTTTCACTTCTAAATAAACGCACTCTGATTAAATGCTTTCCTACCTTTTTGTTCTTTAATTGGCAGAGAAAGAGAACCTGCCCCTAGACAGTATCACGTATGGGGCTTGGAAATAAAGACACTCAGAACAAGTTCAGGATCTATTTGATTTCACTCACTGGAAACAAGATTGATTGTCTTTGTATCCTACTTCAGTTCAAAGCTGCTCGTTAAACCATTCTGCTTATGGGGCTTAGTTAAGCTCCTCTGAAATTGGATTTTGTCCTGGGGGAATCCAGTTCCGCAATCTCCTCCTGAGGAACTTGGCAAGCACTGTTCTCTTTGCCTGTTGTCAGTTTCAGCCCAAGGCCTGACCTTGGTTGCCCTTGCAATGGTATTCTCCTACCTGCAGTGCTGTCAGACTCCTGGTACCCAGCTTTCTTTGTCTAAGGCAGTGGTTTCTGCAGGAAGTCAGCATCGTGTGTGTGTGTGTGTGTGTGTGTGTGTGTGTGCTGGTACTGAGGCTTGAACTTAGGGCCTGAGCCCTGCTCCTTTACCTTTAGCTTATTTTTCTAAAGATTGGCACTCTACCACTTGAGCCACAGCTGCACTTCTGGCTTTTTGGAGGTTAATTGGAGATAAGAGTCTCATAGATGTTCCTGCCCAGACTGCCTTCAAATGGAGATCCTCAAATCTCAGCCTCTTGAGTAGCTAGGATGATAGGCGTGAGTCACCAGTGTCTGGCAAACTACTTTGAACTTTAAAAGGAAAACAAGAAAAACAGAAAACAAAAACCCCTCGTTTGCCTGAATGTTTTTATAAAGGGCAGAATGTACAATTTCTCTGTGTTAAAATATTAGTTTTTGTTAATACGTGAAATTTAAAACATGATCAGCAGTTGCTGGGTGCCAGGTGGCTCACACCTGTCACCCTAGCTACTCAGGAGACTGACATCTGAGGATCATGGTTCAAAGCTAGCCCAGACAGAAAAAAAAATCCATGAGACTCTTATCTCCAATGAACTACCCAAAAGCCAAAAGAAGTGGAGATGCGGCTCACGTGATAGAGATCCAGTCTGGAACTAAAAAGCCAAATGGGAGAGGAAGGCCCCGACTTCGAGTCCCAGTAGGGGCATAAAACCAAAATGCTCAGTGGAGATCCTTCCTTCCTCCATCTACTTCCGGAATGGTAACTCGTGTGTGTACAGTGGTCTCTGCCGTCCCTCAGAAAGCTCTAGTGAGCATGCTCTGGGTTGACAGTGATCCTGTCTGAGGAGTCTCCAGGACATAAAGTGAAGAGTTCATAAGCACTTGTCACTCACGGGTTCAACCCAGCCAAGATGCAAGTTGAGACTTCAGCACCTATGAGATTTGACCCTCAACAGCAATGCCAGAAAGGGAAACTGAGCTCTCAGCAAGTTTAGAGGCCAGGATATTTCAGCAACAGGGCTCTGGGATGGTCTGGAATCAAGCCCAAGAACATTAAAATTCTGCAAGCAAGCATCAACAAGACAAACCGGGGTGAAATCTGCCTCTTACCAAGCATTTTCCACGTAATTCCATCAATGGAAGGTGTGGCGTTGGACAAGATTTTACTGTTTCTTTAATTTCTCATCTCTAATTACATATACAAAAGAAACAACAGATACCTTACACATCCCTCTTCACTGGAGAGAGTACACACAGTGTATCATTTCAACAGAGAAACAAATTTCTAGCATATCCATGATTCTTTAAAAAAAATAAAAGAAAAAAGAAACAAAAAATTACATGATGAGTACCTTAATTTAACTGGAACCAAATGGATTACAGTTATTCAAATTCCAAATCAATAAAAAGAGAGGGAGATTTTGGTATCTAGACACATAAATCATTCAGTACAAGACTTTCAGTATCCAAAATATCACAATCTAGCTTTCAATTGGCAGCTATGATTGACTAGCTCTCAAGACAACCAATCCTCCCACTTAGAACAAGCAAAAGCAAATATAAAAATAGAACAATAATGTATTTATGGAGGTGTTTGAGTTTTGTTCAGGTAGCCAGGACAAAATCCTGAAGAGACAAACTCATGGTGGATGTCACGTCTTGCACTGGATTTTGCTTTGCCTGCCAGCCTTGTCTTGTGTTGGGCAAGGTTTCTGATTGTGTGTCTATGCAGTGTTAAAACTCAGGGAGCTTTGGAAACTTGACAAGGTTGCTTAACATGTAGCAGGCTATACATCAGGTGAAGATGGGGTTGATCAACACTGCTTTATACCCATAGCTGACTTTAGAATTTGGTAGAAAAATTCATCAGCTAGGCATAGGTGACTTAGTGAGCCTGTAGTCCTAGCTAGCTACTCATGGGGTTGAAACCTGAGGTTAACAGGTTCAAAAGCCAGCTCAGGCAGGAAAGTCCAAGAGACTCTTATCTCCAATTGATTGCCAACAAGCTGGAAGTGGAGCTGTTGTTCAAATGGTAGAGCACAAAATCTCAGGAACAGCTCCCAAGCCCTGAATTCAAGTTCAATCGTCTTAGAAGGCTGTACAGGACAACACAGATCTGAGATTTCTTTTTCTTTTTCTTTTTGGTGGTAGTGGGGATTGAACTCACACCCCCGTGCTTCTAAGGCAGACATTCTATCACTTACACCACGACTCCAGCCCTCAGAAACTTATCTTTGTTCAAAATTATATGGTATTACAAGATCTGGAACCAATTAAAAAGCAATAAAAATGTAACCATAGCCACCAGGTATTAGAGTTATCAGGTGCAGACTACAGCAACACTTTGCTGAGCATGAGAAGTAAAAGGAAATTGTACAACTGAAGAAGACAATGGTAAATTTAAGGCAGGCAAATAAAACAGGATTCATATTTGCTAGGACCACCCAAAGACCAATCCATAAATCCATCCTGCCGAAAGAATGTCCTAAGAAACCTCCTCCCCTCCCCTAACAAAACCCCTTCTCCAAGGTTCTGATATGATTATGCCTGGCCCTTCTGCAGTCAGCTTGATGGGTGTGGCATCCTAGTAATCTGGATGCTTATCCAATGACATAGAACATCACACAAAGACACATGCACAGGAGAGGAGGGGTATGTCTTGACAGGACCTTTGGGGGGGGGGGGAATCCTAATTAAGACTTCATGTGCTGGGTGCTAGTGGCTCATACCTGTAATCCTAGCTAGTCAGGAGGCTGAGATCTGAGGATCAAGGTTCTGAGTCACCCTGGGCAGGAAAGTTTATGAGAGTATCATCTCCAATAAACCACCAGAAAACCAGAAGTGGGGCTCTGGCTCAAAGTGGTAGCTTTGAGCAAAAGAGCTCAGGGACAGCAACCAGACCCTGAGTTCAAGCCCCATGACCAACAAAAAATAAATGAAAGAAGAAGAAGAAGACAAAATGAAGATGAAGAAGGAGAAGAAGGAGGAGGAGGAAGGAGGAGGAGGAAGGAGGAGGAGGAGGAGGAAGGAGGAGGAAGAGGAGGAGGAAGAGGAGGAGGAGGAGGAGGGAGCAGCAGCAGTAGCAGCAACAAAAGTTCTTTAAATGACAAAATGCAGATACCACAGGCTTACCTGGTTTCATAAATGGCATAAAGTTTTCCATGTTCTTTGACTGCATTCCTGAAAATAAAAAAGAATATAATATAAACTTCCAAATCATTGCTAAGGCCTAAAATTCCTTTATTGAACCTGTTCTCAAATTGAGTCTATTCGGAAAGCTTTTGTGAAATCCAAGAAAAAATAAGAAATGTGAACACAGTTTTTAAAATAATATATATAACTTTAGATCAGCGTAGATTGTTGTTTCTGCTCTGATAGTACCTAATATGATATTAAACCACTGGTTAAAGTCTAAAAGAAAAGAAATGGATATAATAGAAAATTATTTGAGAGCAGTCTTATTGGGCAAAAAGCTTCACAGAAGAAATGTTTTAAGTTGAAATCTGAGTCATGGAAGAAGTTAAACATGAGATTTGCATGAAATCAGAGGCTATACAAAGTTTGTGATTCTCACAGTGACAACAAGCAACAGTTTAGAAAATGAAAACCCATTGTGGTGCCTCGTAATTCTAGCTACTCCAAAAGCTGAGATACAAGGATCATAGTTCAAAGCCATCTCAGGTATTTTAAATCCAAGAAACTCTTATCTCCAAGTAACCACCAAAATGCCAGAAGTGGAGCGGTGGTTCAAGTGGTAGGACTCCAGACTTGAATGAAAAAGCTAATTGAGATTGGGCTCTAATAGCTTACACCTGTAATTATCAATTCAGGAAGCGGAGATCTGAGGATCCCAGTTCAAAGCCAGCTCTCACAGGAAAAAAATCAGAGAGTTTATGTCTCAGTTCACCAGCAAAAAAGCCAGAAGTAGAGCTGTGGTTCAAGTGGTAGAACACCAACCTTGAGTGAAAAAACTAAGGGACAGTGCCCAGGCCCTAAGTTCAGGCCCTAGAACAGGTACAAAAGAAAAACAGATTAAAATGTAATTTTGAGTGGAATAACATAAATGATCAGACAAACCTATATATGGCTAGAAAGGATAACCAAAAATAAAAGTTGAAAGAGAAGAATGAAAACAATAGAACTATATGAAAACAATAGAACTATATGCAAACAATATGACCAATTTAAAAAGATGAGAGTAGATTCATATAACACCATTACCTACAGGAAGCTTAAGTTTATTCATTTCATCCATTCACTCACTCATCCATCCCCTCATTCATTCATTGGGATGTTAGGAATTTAGCTGAGAGCTTCACACCTTCTGTGCAAGTATTCTACCACTGTCCTGAGTCCTCAGCTTTAGAAAGCTAGCTTTAAAGATGAAGACACAAATTAATTTGAAGTCAAAGGATGGAGGAAGGATTATTATACAGACAAAAAAAAATCCTAATTAAAAATTCATATGCTGGGTGCCAGTGGCTCACACCTGCTAGCTACTCTGGAGGCTGAGATCTGAGGATTGTGGTTCAAAGCCAGCCCGGGCAGGAAAGTCCACAAAAGCTTAGGGACAGGACCCAGGTCCTGAGTTCAAGCCCCATGATGGACCAAAAAGAAAAAAAAAGAAAGAAAGAAAAGAAAAGAAATAAGAGTCCAGTGCCTATATATAGTCCCCTCTCTTCTTCGCAATGTGACAGAGCTTTTTAAAATGGCTCTGAACATCTCATTTTAATTTTAGGATTTTTGAATCAGGCTAATACTTTTTCTAGGGCTATCCATTACTATAGGTCCTTGTGAAGTTAATTAATTTCCTGTAATTGCTTTTTACCGAGACCTCCAGTGAAAAGACTTTCCAGAGTTTTGATTCTTGAGTTAGGTCCAATAAAAACAACAGTTTTTGCAATGGCTAGTACATTCATCTAGGGGATCGTGAGACAAGCCAAAAATAACATTTCTCTGGAAAGGAGCCTGTGAAGGAGTTCAAACTCCACTCTACTTTCTCCAATTATTGCCAGACTGTTTGCATTGTAGGGTACCACAGCACAGGCAAAGCTAGGGAAGAAGCTAAAGTTCACCTAACCTACCGTTCTTAGCAATAGTCTTGCTATTTTTCTTCAGTAAATGCTCACTGAATTGCTTCATGATCTTGGTTAATTTCCGGAGTTCAAAACTTTGATTCTTACCATTTTCCTGTTTGTTTTTGTTTGTTTGTTTATTGTAAAAATACCGTATGGAGGGGTTACAATTACATGGGCAAGATAATGAGTACATTTCCTATCAAGCATTGTTGCCTCCTCCTTTGTTTCCCCTTCCCATCCCTTCCCATTCCTCCCCTCTCCCCTTCCCCTCCACCAAAGTTGTAAAGTTTGTTTTTCAACATAACGACTTGTACATCTCATTGTTGCAATGGGTACACCTGTATCCCTATTTAAATGATTTGTTTTTTCCCCTTCCCCTCCATAAATTATACCAACATCAAATACAGTGAAAGCAGGGGTTATACCATGGGGGAGGGACATACAAAGCAACAAAGAAATCATCTTATAAATATGTTAGAAACAATTATATAAAAGAAAAAACATTTGAATACTTACTTTGGGGTTCATTTCACCTAACATCAACTTATCTGACCTTTTCTGCTTGTCTCAGACATATACTATTTATTGCAAATAAAGGAAACCATGGGACCTATGTTTCTTTGGGCCTGGCTTACTTCACTTAATATAATTTTTTCCAAGCCTTTCCATTTCCTAACAAATGCAGCAATGTCATTCTTTCTGATGGAGGTATAGAATTCCATTGTGTGTATATACCACATTTTCTTGATCCATTCATCTACTGAGGGGCATCTGGATTGGTTCCATATCTTAGCTATGGTAAATAATGCTTCAATGAACATAGTTGTGCTGGTAGCTTTAGTATGTTCTTGTTTGTGATCATTCGGGTAAATGCCCAAAAGTGGGATTGCTGGGTCATAGGGGTGGGTTTTATATATATATATATATATATATATATATATATATATATATATATATATATATATATATATATAAAGACTCTTGGGAGATTCTCCCTCTTCTGTTTTCACTAAGGCCACTCCCAATGATTTTTTTAAATTAACTTTTATTAATTGTCATATTTCATAGGTTTGTTCATTTTATCCTGTTATACATTATTCTAATAAATTGTAGGAAAAGGTTTCCATTCAGTGTGTCAAGCTAGAAGTACAATCTTGATTAGTATCACCCCTTCCATCCTTCTCTCTCCATCTCCCCCAACCCATCCCTCAGTTTTCCTAGTTCTGGTTTCACTTGTGGACATTAGAAGTGCAGTTTCCCATCCAATAGATATTTGAGGATGGTGCTGGAGCTTTTTCATGAGTGAATGGAGACACTCTGGACCAATGACTCAGGAGCATTGCATATTTGTTAAGTAAGTTTTCATTGGCTCCCAAACCTTGTTCAAAAATAATGAGAGCGGAATTGTGTTAAGTGAGGTAAGCCATGCTCAGAGAGATGAACAACACATGTTGTCTCTCATATGTGGAAGCTAGATGTAAAATACATCTGGACGTGATAATGTATGCAGGACTTCAGAAAAGCTCACCCTTAAGGGAGGACTGCAAAGGCGTAACTTCTCTGAACATTTAAAATACTCTATCAAAACCAACTCCAGGAAATGGAAACATGAGTTTCCTTGTTACTGTTGTTGGTGATGGTGGTGGTTTGGTTTTGCTTAGTTATTTTTTTCTTTTTGGGGGGAATAAAGGAGGGTTGCACAAAGGGAGGGAGGAAAGGTAAACAAATGCAGACATGCTATTCAGTATACACAATGTGGAAAATGAACTATGGAACTTGTGGGCAGGACTGGGAAGAGGGAAAGGAAAGGGTGACATTGTCCAAAAAAAAGAAATATACTCATTAACTGACATGAAATGGTATCTCCTCTGTATAACACCTTTATAATTACAGTAAAATTATACATATATATTTATTATTGATTGATTGATTTTGGTTGGTCATGAGCTCGACTTCAGGACCAAGGCTCTGTCCTTGAGTTCTTTTACTCAAGCTCTACTACTTTGAGCCACAGTGTCACTTCCAGTTTTCTGGTGGTTGATTGGAGATAAGAATCTCACAGATTTTCCTGCCAAGGCTGACTTTGAACCTCTATCCTCAGATCTCAGCTTCCTGAGTAACTAAGATTACAGGTGTAAGCCATTAGTGCCAGGCTCAATAAAATTATTTTTGAAAATGCACAAGAAGAAAAAAGAAGAAGAAGAAGAAGAAGAAGAAGAAGAAGAAGAAGAGGAGGAGGAGGAGGAGGAGGAGGAGGAGGAGGAGGAGGAGGAGGAGGAGGAGGAGGAGGAGGAGGAGGAGGAGGAGGAGGAGGAGGAGGAGGAGGAGGAGGAGGAGGAGGAGGAGGAGGAGGAGGAGGAACGGGCTATTGATTTAGGTTTCTCGTGGATGTGATTACAAACTTGTGGGAAGAAGACACAGAATGTGGTGCTCCAGCAAAGACTTCTGGGTATTACAGAGGACAGAGGCACACTGGGAATGTGGCATGGTGGTAGAGTGCTAGCCTAGCATGCATGAAGTCCTGGGATCAATTCCTAAGTACCACATAAATAGAAGAAGCCAGAAGTGGCACAGTGGCTTAGAGCACTATCCCTGAGCAAAAGAAGCTCAGGGACAGTGCCCAAGCCCTGAGTTCAAGTTCCAGGACTGGGAAAGCAAACAAGGAAGGAAGGAAGGAAGGAAGGAAGGAAGGAAGGAAGGAAGGAAGGAAGGAAGGAAGGAAGGAAGGAAGGAAGGAAGGAAGGAAGGAAAGGTGATACATTAGACTGTCAGGATTGAAAACTTTTTGCAAACATTTTGCCAACATCCCAGAAGGAGTGGAAAGATGGATTTCTATATCACATGCCCACATGGGTTTGAATACCTCAAATGAAGAACTCTCCAAGCTCAACAGTAAAACAAAACAACATAATTTCCCATAGTCCAGTTATAATATAGGAATCACACATTAATACTTCACTCAATTATCGACTGAGCACCACCTCAAGATCATTAGGCACAGGGAAAGCTCAAACTGGACCTACAGTGAAATAGCGCACCTTTATCAGAGTGGCCAAAGCAAACATCAGACTGTATCAGTTGCTGGAAAGGATGGAGATATTCAAGCACAGGCTTGCTTGGCTCATTTGCTGGTGGAAATGTAGTGAAATTCGGCCAAGTAAACATTCTGGTAGTTTCTACAAAATGAAAACATGAAAATGCCACACAACCTAGGAATCACGCTTCGAGTCATTTATTGCAGATGAAGGAAAAACCCACGTCCAGACAATGTTTATAGCAGATTTTGTTCTTAGTGGCAAAGACGAAATGGCCCTGATATCCTTCAATACAGGGATGTTTGTGCAGACTTTTGGTTAATCCATGCCAGGAATTACTGTCACAGGAAACGACAAAAGTACTGATGCTACCAGATACTGAAAAAAAATCCTGTCCAGTTATGCTGAAAAACCAGTAGATACGTATATTAGCAAGGAATTGATTGGATTTATTGTAGAACATGGAACCATTTTGGTTGGTCCATAAAAAGAACAAAAGTTATAAAGCAATAAAAAAAATCCACAGAAGCAATATGTAATAGAGTTGGATAAAATTTAAGAGTCTACCTTGGTGTTGGTGGCTCACACCTGTTATCCAAGCTATGCAGGAGGCTGAGATCTGAAGCTCAAGGTTTGAAGCCAGACTATGTAGGAAAGTGTGCGAGACTCTTATCTTCAGTGAGCCAGCAAAAAGCTGGAATTGGAGCTGTGGGCTCAAGTGGTAGAGCGCCAGTCTTGAGTGAAAAATGCTAAGCAACAAGAGTAAGGCTCTGCATTTACACGCTAAGAGCAGCACAAAAATACTTAAAAGGTCCAAATTTTATATTATCATGGTCAAAATATAGAATAAGAAGGTGGTATTCCCAAGAACCAAGTAGAAAACAATTATCAATATAAAGCATCCTGATTCTATATCAAGAATAATAAAATCCATCTGAAAACTCTGTAATGGCAGGAAAATGTTAATGATAGAACATGAAACTACATCATGGTGCAAAACCTTTCCTGGGTGTGCGTAGTGAATAGGAAACATTTTTAACAGTGTGTAACCTTTAGTATTGTCATGTGTTAGTTTTTGTACTGAGTTCACGAACCATTTTATAATAATCTATTGGGTGATACGCTATGGATAAACTTTAAACAGTAAACTTATCATAAGAAAATATTTTTAAAGGTAAAAGGAATCTTGTGTATATAATGTAAATTCTGAAAAAAATTAAACATTAGAAGGGTATGTATATAAATATATGCAGATATATGCATATATTTGCATTTGCATATATGCAAACAATAAAGGCCAGCCTGGTCTAGATAGTGTGACCTTGTCTCCAGTGAATGGCTAGCACTGTTGCTTAGTGGGGAAGCACTTAGTTAGCCTAGCTGAGGCCCTAGGTTTGAACCATAAGACTGTCAAGTAAAAAGGAAAAATAGGTGTATTCCAAAACAAGTTACTCACAATCATGCTGCTAGTTATTTTTCTTGTCACCTGTGGAGTCCTTACTGCCGTCAGATAATGGACTGTGATTAAAAGGAATCAACCTCATTGAATGGGATGGAATTGTACTAGGAGTTCAAGCCCCAGTACCGACACACACAAAAGAAAATAGTGTCATTTCAGAATTTTCAACCAACTTCATTTTATATTTTCTCCCGAGGCTCTGAAACTTTCATAATCTTAGTGATGAGAAGCCTTTTGCTTTTTATCTTTCCTTGCTAGGGAAAGACATCTTGGGAAGTAAATGGCTAGCAAATTGAATTTCTTCTGCCCAGCGAAGCCCTTTTCAATGCAATCAATTGTAATGCAAGTGGTAGCTTCCACAGAAAGTGTAGCAGCCCCAGAAATATTCACATCACGGAGAAAAGCTAGAGTCAGTGTGAGAAGGGAAATATTTGTGGAGCCATCAGATACATATGAGCATTACCATAACATTGTTAACATGATCGCATGCCATCTTTATCTGAGATGAACCAATCAGCTCCCTCCATTTCCCTGGTTAGTTCTGCCTCTTTCTGGGCAACCCTGGTCTTTTTGTAAATGGTCCACATTTCTCTGATCCCAACATTAGCCGGTGTTTATTATGGAATTAATATGAGTTTTACAGTACCAGCCTCTAGTATGCAAGCATAACTTCATTACTTCAAATTAATATGCTACCATAAAACTTCTCCTGCCAAGAAACAGAACACTTATGGTGTCCAAGTAATCTCTGAGCAGTGCATTGTAAGTTCAAGTTCCATTCATGGACACCAAAATATTTTTAAGCTTCGGATTTTTTTCTCCCCAGAGCTAAGGACTGAATTTAGGGTCAGTACTTGCCAGGCAAGTACTCTTCCACTGAGCTAAACCACCAACCCTTCTGGTTTTAATTTTTATCTTTATTTTAGACTGTCTAGCAGATGTGCAGATTGGGTCATAATGTAGACCATGCTGTATCCTTGAGAACTGTTGATACAAACTTTTTTTGGTGGTGGTAGTAGTGGGCTTGAACTCAGGGCCTGGGCACTATTCCTGAGCCTCTTTGTGCTCAAGGATAGCACTCTATCACTTGAACCACAGCACCATTTCTAGCTTTTTCCAAGTTGTTCATTGGAGGTAAGAGTCTCATGGACCTTCCTTCCCAGGCTGGCTTCAAACCATGATCCTCAGATCTCAGCCTTCTGAAAAGCTAGGATGACATGTGTGAACCACTAGAGTACAGCATGAACATTTTTTATATGTTTATCTGCTGTCTTTTCAGTTCACTTGCTTTTTAAAAAATGGATTGTATATAATTTATTTTAAATGTATTAGGAGGAAGAAGGGGAAGAAAGAGAAGACAGAGAAAGAAAAGAAGGTGGAGGAAGGACAGAAAGAGGGAAGGCAGGCAGGAAGGCAGGCAAGAAGGAAGGAGGGAAGGAAGGAGGGAAGGAGGGAAGGAAGGAAGGAAGGAAGGAAGGAAGGAAGGAAGGAAGGAAGGAAGGAAGGAAGGAAGGAAGGAAGGAAAATACATTTGAGAGCATCTTCCAAAAGGACACTCTTGTTGTTCAAACAAAACATGAGATCAGTAGATATTTGAGAATGAAAAAAAAAATTTGTCTACTTCATTGAAAACACAAATGTGAAATTTCTATTCATAAAATAGACACTTCAAAGAAATAAAGCAGCTCATTTATGGGAATGATTAAAATGTATTAATCTGGGAAGCTAAATACACTTATTTATCATTAAAATCCAAGAAAATACTAATGCAAGTATAGAAAATTTCAGCATGATGAATGAGAGAAAATGGGTCTTCTGACCAGAGGTAAAGCATGTGGATATGTTTTCAGATTATGTGGTCTCTACAAATGTTCAAATGTCTTGTGGTAACATACCCTTATGGTATACTGAAAATCACCCCAAATCTTGACAGGTATAGGCAAAATATGTTCTTTCAATAACTTACAATTCATTTAACCCCATGGCAAAAGATCAAGACAAATTGCTCTCCACTTAGAAATTAACCTATGATTCTAAAGAACAAATCAAAGTTTTAAGTAATTTCAAGAAAATTATATAACCAAATCCACTGAAGTTCTAGGAAACAACAAACAAAATCATGAGGTCCAAATGTATAGTTATAAAAATATAGCTTCATTTGGGAAAGAAAATAATGGTTGAAATTAATAACTAAATGCACATTGCATGTAGGTAGGCAGTGCAAAGTACATTTTAAGAAGTAGGTGAGCAGAGAGTAAATATAAAACATTGAATAGGAGCTGGGAAGGTGGCTCAGTGGTAGAGTGCTTGCCTTGCATGCATGAGGCCCTGGATTCGATTCCTCAGTACCACATAAGCAGGAAAAGCCAGAAGTGGCACTGTGGCTCAAGTGGTAGAGCACAAGCCTTGAGCTGAAGAGCTGAGGGACATACCCAGGCCCAACAACAACAACCATTGAATAAAGTGATTAGCAAAGCCATGAACTTTCTCAGTGAAAGAGGGAACAGGAAAAGAAATCATACCAAACAAGAGATACTTAATGAATCTAAGAAAAACAATAAATACGAGGTGCACACACAAGACCCACCACGCACCACAGACACATGAAAAAAGAATGAGAAACTATGAGAAAATGTTTGTCTTAACAGTCTCTGAACACATATTTAGACAAAATAAGCACTTCCCAGAAAGAAAGAAATCTTGCCCAAACAAACCTAGAAATAAAAAAATAATAATAATAACAGACATCTGGGAACAAAATTAGAATGGCATCCTAAGTTTCCTGTTTGCTTGATTTTTGTTTATTTGTGTTTCTTCTGCCTCCCAAGAACCATCCTGCAGTGTTGGTTTGGAGAAAGCAATGGAGACAGAAAAGAGGAGGTATCTTTGACAGGGGCCAGTACAGAGGAACTTTCGTAATTCCCAGAATAAGGGAATATGGTCAAACACCATCAAAGTCCAGGCTCCCTAGAACAATGGCTTTTTAGCTGGTGCAAACGGGGTAAAGCATGGTACAACATGGAACCCACCACCAAATGCTTCCTTACCCATCACCCGCAAGGAGGAAACCGTGAACCAATTGAAAAGCCTCATAAAATGAGTCTGAAGGAAACTAGTGTCATTCAGGAAAGCCCCTCTGGCCTTCAACTGACAAAGGGAACGTATTTCATGGAGAACACTGGTGGAGAAACTATATTGAAGCAGCTTAGGGGGCCAGAAACATGAAACGAGCACTTCCTGATCAAAGGTCAAAGGAGCCACGGCACATGGCAACAGACTTAAATTAAGCATCTTAGGGGATGTTGGGAAAGAGAAGGCTCAAAAATGAACCAAATGAGCCCTAGGGAACAGGGTGAAAGGGCACCACAGAGAACTCTGGAGATGGAGCCAGGTTTGCGCCTATCAGCCTTAATCCCTAGCGGCTCAGGAGCAGATGTGCAAGGACTATTTTGGGTACTTTTAAGACAGTGCCTTGAGTCATGAAGTTGAAAAGGCCACTTTGGGCCATCTGCTCTTCCCACACAGGCCCTCCTGATAAAGCAGAAAAGGATCCGAATCAAATTTGCAAGTACTTGGAAAATGTGTACATGGATTATTAAGTATCTCAACAAATAAGAAAAATCTCACAGCCAAAAATGTGGATTAAAAAGAAATACAAAGACAGAAACTACTAGCAAAGCCCGAGGCTGGTGGCTCACTCCTGTCACTAGCTCCTCAGGAGGCTGAAATCTGAGGTTCAAAGGCAGCACGGGCAGGGGTCGGTGAGACACGCTTTATCTCCAATGAAGCACCCAAAAGCCAGAAGTGGAGCTGTAGCTCCAAGTGGTAGAGAGCTAGCCTTGAGAAAAAAACAAAATAGCTCAGCGACAGCACCCTGAGATCAAGCACCAGGATCAGCAAGCACACATGTGCACACATACGCATGCGCACGCACACACACACACACACACACACACACACACACACACACACACACACACACACCTCACCAAAGGCTAAAGGGAAGGAGAGATCAATCAGTGAAACACAGGAGATATTTAGAAGAGTAAAAGTGATGATGGATACAGACATCATGAACGCGTCCATTTCAGCAGACTGCACAGTCTGATGATGTAAGCTGTGATGTTCATGAATAGGAATTTAGCAATAATGGTTCATCAGTTGCAACAAATATACCGGATCAAGGCAATGTATTAGAAAGAAGGGAAACAGTCCAGGGAGAACAAGTAGAATGCATTTGTTCTTCTACTCAATGTTTGTGCAAACCTGAAGCTGTTCTAAAATATATATATATGTTTATTAACTCTTTGTGATGCTCTATTAGGAAAAGTATGTAATCTAATAAAAAGGTTCCGATTTAATCTTCTCATTCAATCTAATCAAAGAAACGAGAAGAAAGGCCTCTGTGTGTGTGTGTGTGTGTGTGTGTGTGTGTGTGTGTGTGTGTACTGGGGCTTGAACTCAGAGCCTTGCATTCTTGTCTGGCTTTTTCCACTGGAGGATAGTGTTCTACCACTGGAGCCACAAATCCACATCCAAGAAAGGCATTTTTAATCAATGAAATGAGAAAGGTATTATTGTAAAAGGCTAGACTCCTCCCTGAATGTATGTTATTAATGTTTAACAGAAAATAAAAAATAAACTTCAATATTTTCAATGTTGATAGTGAGATCCTAGGATGAATAGAAACTGATGCCAGGAGACATTAACATACCTGTCTCAGACGAAGATCAGAACGTCAAAACACTGTTAGGTTTTAGAAGACAAAAATTAATCAATAAAGGAATGCGAACAGAATGTGTTAACCTCAAAGTCAATTATTGGAGAACACAAGTTCTTTTCATAAAAATATATGAAATTGAGCTGGCCGCCTTTAATCTTAGCAACTCAGAAGGCTGAGAGCTGAGGACTGTGGTTCAAAGCCAGCCTGGGCAGGCTCTTATCTCCAATTATCTCCAATTAAACATCAATGATAATAACAATATTTTTAAAGCCAAAATAGGAGTTGTGGTTCAAGTGGTAAAGCACTAGTCTTATTGCTGAACACAAAAGCCCAAGGACAGTGCCCAGGCCCTGAGTTCAAGCCCCAATCTTTCAGATGCACACTCATGAGCACACACACACACACATATGATTACAATACTTATTGTACACGTGTGAAAATTGAACCAGGTAACTTGAGGGAATGGGTGGGGTCGGGAGAGAAGGGGAAGAATGACGGAAGAGGTGGCACTGATCAAGATATTTTGTTCTCATAAAGTGACACGTTGAATTGAAATTCCTTTTTTTTTTTTGGTTGGTCATGGGGCTTGAACTCTGGGCCTGGGTGCTGTCCCTCAGCTCTTCAGCTCAAGGCAAGCGCTCTACCATTTGAGCTACAGCGCCACTCCCGGTTTTCTGGTGGTTTATTGGAGATAGGAGTCTCACAGTCTTTCCTGCCCGGGCTGGCTTTGAACCACGATCCTCAGATCTCAGCCTCCTGAGTAGCTAGGATTACAGGCGTGAGCCACCAGCGCCTGGCTGAAATTCCTTTGTACCACTACATAAGCACAATACAATAAAACAATAAAAACAATATATAACATAATAGCTGGGGGAAAACTTCCATACATCACAACAAATATCATGTAGTAAAACCATAAAAGAAATACATAAAGGGCCAAAACAGGATTTCTCTCCAGTACCTTAATAAACTCTCCATTTTAAAAGCTCTTGGTTTAAAGAAAAAAAATTGCTAAAAAATAAGAAATCAGACTGTTGAAAATATAATTGTCTGAGGTCTACATCAAATGGATTATGAGATTAAGAATAGAAGAAAATTAAATTTAGTCATTAAGTCGGTTAGCATGAGAACAGTGGTATAATGTAGAAATGCTGTCGCTAAAAAAAGGTTTAACACATGAAAAGTATAACTTGAGTTTTCTTTTTCATTTTCCCGTAGGTTTTTTTTTTAAACCAGCATCAATTAGCTGTACAAATGGGTTTCATTCTGACAAGTCCATATACGTGTACAAAATACCTGGTTCACATTCTCCCCTTGCTGTTTTGCCCAAGGTGGTCTAGAACTCTTGGACTCTCCTATCTTACCCTTCCAAGTAACTTTGACTACAGGTGTGAACCACCTCACCCACCCTGCTTGTGTGTCTTTTGACATTTAATTTTCAGCTTAATTCCACTGTCGACTGACGGACTGTTCTTAATTGTTTTGTTCCCCAATTCCAATATTGTGTT